ACTGAGCAATGCTCCCAGTCCGTGACCCGCGGGCCCCTTCTGCCACTGCGCACTTCCCTCGGGGACAAGACCATGAATCCAGAAATACCTCTTGGGGCCATGGCTGAAAATGAACCAAGCAAGAAAAACACGAAACGATCAAAAGGCCGATTCGCTGGCAAGTGGATCGCCGAAACCTCCTCCCAGGCCTCGCGGTCTCAGCGCCAGTAAGGAAGCCTTCCACGCGAACACGAGAGAACCCAACAAAGTCGGCGGCTTTTTTTGGCGGGGGGACCTCAGGAGATTGCAGAGGTGCATTGAGATTTGCCGTGCGGTGCCGAGAAAACCTGAAAGAACTATCTACCCACTGGCACGGTGTCGACGTGGTCCAGCCTCCGTTCCGCAACAGGTGGAACGGACATGTAGCTGCAAATGCATTCCGCGCATGCTGAACAATCAGCTCCAAATAGTGGGTGCATCCTGTGTCTCCAAGAGTTGATGCTGTGGCGTTAAGTGGTCCGTTTCAGACGTAATATGACTCACATAATCAGAATCCAGTGACAGTGACTGAAGAGCTCGGGGGGATGAAGGCCCGGGATTCTGTTGGTAAAGAATCGATACCAGAAACAAATCAGCCCATGAGCGGCTCGCACCTCTCCTTTTTCAGTGCTTCCTTCCCACACATCATCCAGTGAGGCGGAGGAAACACACAACTTGGTTTGTTTGATTAACAGGACGCGAGATGATAAGATTCGCTACGATGCCTCTCCGAAATTGCTTCTATGGCAGCAACTTGAGTAGCAACAGGGAGAGCCTGCCATCCAACTTGAGACATACATTGCGTTTGCAAGTGGTGAGGCGGCCCGCCCCTTCCCCCCAAACAAACAAACTTATCCATGTCTGGGTCGCGGTTGTGGCTTGCAGGCAGAACATCTCGCATGCCACCGGGATTGGTCAACTGATTGAACTGGGAAGGGGGTGTCCGCATAAGACCATGTCCTCTACTTCCCGCGTGGCTGGCCAGGGATTGATATAGTTTGGGATGGTCTCAAAAAACCTGCAAGCAGTTCGCGTCTTGTTGACACTTTCGCCATGTTCCCAAACACTCGGGATTTGCTCCACACAATCATTTCGCCTTCCCTTTCCTTCCCGTTCAAACCAACCCCCAGACCCGCAGCCTTCACGAGAAATAACGGAAAACACCGGGCGGGCGGGGGGGGGGGGGCCCGGGGGGGGGGGGAAAGGAATTGGCACCAGATTTCCCTATGGGCAAAAAGAGAAAAAGCGAAATTCCAACCAGTCTTCGGCAGTTACTGTAACGACCAGTGCCACTCCAATGGCTCCCGGCCTCCCGGGTTCGAGCCAGCAGCTCCCAGCTTCCTCCTGCGAAGGGAAAACAAAAACGCCTCTTCTCGCCCAGAAAAGCCCAAGAAACAGGTGCCATGTTGGGCTCCCCAAAGCCCGTAGGATGGCAAACGTGGACTTTTGCAGGGAGTTCAATCCGCTGGAGTTGTTTTTGTTCTATTTGTTTTTGTTCAGGTGATGGGAATTCAAGTTGGTGAGCCGTTTAGAACGAAACCTGTGAGGCTGGCTCCGAAGGAAGGCCGCTGGCTGGGCATTGCCCGATGGTTGAAAGAGGCGTCAAACAAGGCTGAGCAAACACATTCAAGCACCAGAAACTCTAGAGCGCAACGGTGCAAAGGCCTGACAGTCTTTAAAAAAAACAAGATTCCACTGTGCTGGATCATGCATCTCAGTTCCGTCGAAAGGTGTGACGCAATCTCTGATGCCAATCATACGGAGCAACAACAACTGGGGGGTCACCCTGGTTTCTGTGCAATAGATCGGCTGTCCGGCAATGTCCTCCCCTACAGTACACTAGCAAAAATATGCTCCGTTACTCGACATGCAAAAATAACTAGGTAGTGCCATTGGTTGTTGAATGATTCAATTCTCCCAGACTCAGATAAGGGAGTCTTATACACCAATACAAAGAAACTTGAGAATCGTTTGAGGAATTTGGGATGGTTTGGGAACCCGGGGGATGCCTCCGACTTGGATGCTTCAGCTGTGTCTCAAAAACATCAGCAACTCGGGACCTCCGAAAAATGGCGGAAGGAATCGGGACGCCTCTTGGTTGAGCAGGAAAAACACGAAAACTGCACCAAGAGGTTGCCGACTATGAGGCATGTGTGTCCTTTTTCTGGTAACGCGAAATAGTGGTTTACCTTTTGGTTTCCCTTCCAAACCACCAAACAAAGGGTGCCAACTCCAGAAAAAGACGAGCCCATATCCAGCTAAACACCCAGCTCCAGTCCTTGCAAGTGCAGGGCCACAGACTTCAGGCTAGAAGCACCAGACCTGAAGGTCTCAGTTTCACCCACCGGACGTCTGGCCGCCCGTCTCTTTCACTATGATTCACTGGATCACTTGAGGAATTTACTGCCAAATTGGATTTGGTCCTTTCAAAGCCATGACTGAATTCATCGGTTGTACTATTTGCATCTCGGAGGGCGTAGCACGAATGGCTAGTTCTCTCGTGGAAGGCTCTGTGAGGGGAAACCAATGTCGGCACTTCCCTGCCTAAACGGCCGTGCAAACGGCCACAAAACAGCGACAAGAGCGCTTGAAGACAACGACAAGAGCCAGGAATACAGAAAAGACATTGTGCAAGCACGCCGCGCACCCGTACAACCCAACAAATTCTGAACGTTGCATTAATCAGCTGTTTTAACTTGTGAGTCTCCAAACCTCAAATCCCAATACTGAATGTAATTACCATTAATTACCCAAATCCAAGTAAAGAGCCATTTCTCTTCTTTTAATATGCTTTTCTATTCTCATTAGTTCCTATGTTAAATCTCATGGTCTTTAGGTTTTTTTAATTAGTTGGGTTTCTGAGGTTCCCGAAGATACAGCATATAGAAAAGCTCTAGGAATTTACGAGAGCTGGAGTGAATGGTGCTAGATCCACATCTCTTGTCCATTAGATCCTATTGTCGGTCTATTCCTTTCCTACCACTGACTGTGGATCCAAACCTAGCTGTCAAGAGAATGAAGGAATGAATGACCGTGGACAAGCCACTCCAAACACTCACTACACAGTGGAAATAGACTGGATTTAATGTAAATGGTTCCTTTTTCACCTACAATTATTTTTCATCTACAAATTCATTATCCTAAAGACTGTGAAAGAAGAGAGTAATTCTCATTCATAAACTCCTTGACAAAAATCCTTTTCTTCTCATTCATCTATCCATCCTTTCTTTACTGTAATTAAGATCTCTTGGAAGAACTTTCTCATATCTATTTATCTCTTCTATTATTCCTTATCTATAATCCATTATTATATTACCTACAAAAATCCGGGAATTTAACCCTAACAACACAAAAGCTGAAAATAATAATTTCATAATAATCAAATCCATAATATTAATCATAAAAAAAGACACAATAATAACGATAAAGAATAATATAATTTACAAATAATCCAAATATTGAAGAAGTAACAGCTTTTACAGAAGAAATATCGTTATCTCTCACTCTCTATCACTCATCAAGAGACCGGCCTGACTGGTAGGAAGGACATTAACTTCTTTCTCCATTGTTCTTTCATTTACATTTCCTAATCTTAGAAGCATTTCATAGGAGAAAGAAGGTAAGAAAGTAACCCGTGAAACGGTGGGAGAAGCATCCAGATGCTGATAAGGGTTAACCTGCTACGCGAGAAATCTCTTCCTAACAGCTCTTCACCGTCTATTAGCTACCTTTGGGACGGTGAGTGACTACGCCCACCAGCCACAAAAAACTCTGTGACGCACAGCTCGGACACCACAAGTCGGACTCCAAAAGCAAAACTGTACGTAGGGGAATATGTCGATTTGGGGGGGTCCCAGACGACAAGTTTGCTTCACACAAAAACCTGGTGGGTTCTATGTGAGTATACCACAAGCGCGCGCTGAGCCCGCCCGAGTTCACTCCGCTTCTTTTTTTGGCGCCGACTCAGCTGCAGGGACGGCTGGCTGGGGCTGGCTGGGAGCCAAACATGTCAGAAAACTCACACGGATGGGCATTTTAATGGGGGATCCTTTGCCAGACATCGCTTAGGTTGAACTTCATGCTCTATTAAAGCTCATTTCCACATTGATGACAGGGCGGGTCTTTAAGCATGGAACTGGCTGTTGGTGATAGTGGGGCATGGAATGCGGCATGCAGAGGTCATGGTGAGAGGTGTGAAGTCTGGCATGGAAATTGAGCTAGACATTCCTGCAGTGGCCGTTTCATAAGTTCCCTGCGCTTTGAAGCGCCAGTGAATACCCTTATCACCGCCCACCCATCACAAGTTTCTCCAGGAGCCTTAAGAGTCTTCAGGGACGCTAATAAGAATGCATTTAAGCACCAAGTTGCAAGGGTTTCCCTGGAGAAGCCATCCCTCAGCATCTTGAAGCACGAGGTATGCGCGCCGGTGAGTTCTTTGCCTCAGGCTGCGCGCAGCAAGGAAGCTTCGAATGCCCCTAGCAGAACATGTTGACGACGGCTGCCAAGTGTTGACCTCAACGGCACTCTGCGGAATCATCACTAGTTGCCAGACCACACAGTGGGAGCGGAAGCTTTTTCTCCCCGAAATATCAAAGTGTGTGTGTGTGTGTGGGTGTGGGTGTGGGTGTGCGTGTGCGTGTGCGTGTGCGGGTGTGCGTGTGCGTGTGGGTGTGTGTGTGTGTGTGACTGTGTGTGACTGTGTGTGACTGTGTGTGACTGTGTGCGACTGTGTGTGACTGTGTGTGTGACTGTGTGTGACTGTGTGTGACTGTGTGTGTGTGTGTGTGTGACTGTGTGTGTGTGTGTGCGTGTGTGTGCGTGTGCGTGTGCGTGTGCGTGTGCGCGTGCGGGTGCGCGTGCGCGTGGTGCGCGTGCGTGCGCGTGCGTGTGGGTGTGCGTGTGTGTCTATTCTGTTCTTATAGAATCCTGTGACTTCGAGGCTCAGAATTGGAGGTCTGAAAACCGGTCAACATATAACACTGGGGATGCTCCGTCGGACTGGGACCCCCATCTCTTCCTGGCGTCGTCCGCCTGATCGCTTTGCGCGCTATGCTCGCATCTCAGCGCTTCAGCACATCCAGGAGGACCTGCGAACAAAACCAAAGCACCCACACAACGGCAAAAACCAATCAACCAACCGACCAACCAACAAAGGGATCCGGTGAACTTGTTCCAGAGAGCCCATCACTTCTGAAATGGTCAAATGCCAGTGAATAGTGGCCTAAGCCATTGAGTGAAGGTTTGGGTCGCCGGGGCCATCGCAGGGATCTGGTCTCTGGCCGCAAACCCATTGAGTCACAATTTCACTTGTACAGGGTTACCCTTTGGTTGTGGCACGGGGCTGGGATTCCACCCCTAAAAAATGCGCAAGCTACTTGTCCCCAACTGAAGGTTTCCACAGCAGCACGCAGGCTTTTCAGGTGTAGACCCTGTCGGATTGCCTATCATGCTAAGCGAGATGCTACAAGCAAATTGACACCCTGTCCGAACCACCAAACTCAGCACCAGTTTTGAAGAGGCTTGCTATTCCACCAATGAAGACATTACACAGATTTGAATTATACGACGTCTGCTCTATGACAACCGATACCTTCTCTAGCTCGACAAAAGCAACCCCTGAATGTTCAGGCGCGTGCTTGACATCTGCTCAAAATGACTCCCATGATTGCACACAGCCCCGAAATACATTCGCAACAGGTGCACATCATGTTGCATGAGGTCTCAATATGTCTGAATACGGGAACCGGAAGTTTCCCTGCGGTGTCCCGTTTCAAGGACCCAAAGGGTACCCTCGAAAACGCTAGCCGCTACACCCGCAGTACCCGCGCCTGCCAATGCACTTGCAAGAGACATGGGCTAACACAAACAAGCTTTGATGGCTTGCAAGATCTTTCGCAGTTGCTCAGTTTCGGCTGGAGAGCCAAACCACCACGGTTCCCAACTACTATTTGTAGGGCCACCAACAAGTTTACGATGACAGCCACAAGTGTCTGCAAACATAGACTGTGATTTCCTTGTTTTGGTCGAGTACTGCCTCAAAGCTATCGATTTCCTGGCAGCCACTTGTGGCAGCTGCGGTCGTGCACTTACTCTTTGCACATCTTCGGAAATCAAAAACATGTTTCTGCATGAGAGGGTAGTTCCTCCATCGCGTTTTCGTTAGTTCATCTCAGGGGGAACTTCACCTTTATCCTTTGGCCAAAAAGAGGCAGGGGCCTCCAGCTTCGATTCGGCTCCCCGTTTTCCACGCAACTTGGCTTCAAAACTCTTTGCCTTCAAAGACACGAAGGCAAAAGCCGCCCCAAGCCACACACCTTCAATGACACCCATAAAATCCGCCAAGGAATCCCACGCAAGATCTGCCCCACGGCTCGATGGCTCGAGCCGCCTCTCTGGAGGGTTCCTCATCGCCACGCCAGATCTCCGTGCCGTCCCTCCTTTGGCGAGAGCGGATTTTTGCGGCCGTCAGGGTACTTGGGAAGTGGCTGGTAAGCATGGAGTAACACAACCATACCTTTGGTGGGTCACAATTGCCAACCAGCTACCAAGAACTTCCCCTTTGAGGTTCACTTTCCAAAGAAAGCTGAGGCTTAAGACTACTGGACAAGGCCCCCCTCTTGGATTTGTGCTTGGAGGTCTTTTGGGGTGGTTTGCCATTTACCCTTTCCCAGAACTGGGGCTTCAAATCAATCCACCAATGGAGGGTAATCTGACCTTCCCAAACTCAGTCATGTTACACACTACACTGCCCAGTTCTTGTGTCGAATATACACAATCTGTCCTTAGCTGTCCAGTCCGTAAGCGTGGCGTTTGATGCATATTTCATGTGGAGAGACTGACTACAAACACGCGTTCTCCTGTTTATAGCTACCTGATCTAAGATTTGGAACACGCGTTATCGTGTGCGTTCCTGTCGCGTCGCCGTCTTTGCCGTTGCGACAGCCGGCTGCAGTACCCAAAAACCGTTCCCCTCGGTTCAAAGGTCTGCTTGGCTCGTGGAAGAGCATTGCCAGTCCGTGGAACACTCCGTCGGCCTTACCCACCCGAGCCAATCAATTGTAGTGAAAGAGGTACAAGCTGCATGAGACACACGCCGCACTAAGAGCCTCAGCGAACAAGCTGGGAACATGGAAGAACTCAACTCATGCACACAGACGTCTTAAAGCACATCGGCTTAGGTCAATTGAGTCTTGCGTTAGACGGTCGCTGTGAATTGGTGTGGCTGTTGGGGCCTCGAACAAACACGTTTCCCCGTTGGAATGTCACGCTCAGATGTTGAGCGGGCAGGGTGCTTGTTGCACCCTACTCCGCACAAAAACTTAGAACGCAACGCCGCATCAATTCTGTCTGAATGACAGATTCCTTGGGACCAATGTTCAACTCCAAGATGTTCGCGCTGCCACTGCAATGGCATGAACACATACCTGCTCCTGGCCATTCTTAGCGGGGCTGATGGGCGCTGTCGGCAAGACAAAGAAACAGGCCATGACCCTTCCTGCGTGCCGCGCACAGTCCCTCAAGCCATCCTCCCCACATACCCCCACCTTAAGGAGTGGGTGCTGGCGGGGGGCGGGGATGGGGGGCTGAAGGCCCAGAACACATCCAAGTAAAGCAAGCGTCCCGTACACCGCACGTGTCCTCACCATGACCCATGGCGTGTCAATGGACTTGAACACCAAGGCCTCAGGTCGTTTGGCTCGTCAGCTTTGCGAGGTACATCCGACAAGTCCCCCCTCCTACGCGCAAAATGCTAGAGGAAGGATAGAGGCTGCATGGATTGGAATCGGAGATGAGCACGTCCAAATCAAGTAGAACATGTTCTACAACTCTACTCTTGCGTTGCCGTAGGGACAAACAACTGTAAGCCTGCTCGCCACGCACTGGGGCCCTGCCGGACAAACAGGTCTCCCCTAAGTATCTCTCAAAAGGAAGAACACATGGGCAACCCTAATGCACAAACCGCTTCTTGAACCTGATGCGCATTTGGTATACCTGACCGGCATGTGCTTCTCACCCTTTTGGCATGAGTCTATTATGTTTCCGCATACCAGTCTTTGCACACTGGAAGACGGGAAAAGAGAGAACCCATTATCTTGCAGCTAGTTCCAACCCCCCTTGTCAGCTTCCCCCTAGTTCGCGATTTTAGAGTGGTGGTTTGGAGGGGATAGCTGGGGTTCAAATGCCCAAGACCCAATGGGGGGGCTACCTGCCTTGCGTGGAGCGTTAAACAAATTTAAAAAATAAAACAACTGCGAAGATCCTTTGCTCTCGGGCGGGGCTGATCGGGAAGCCTTGCTATGCAAACGGGTGCCAAAATGTGCCGACACATGTGACGCGCGCCGCGGAAGGCCCTTTGGAAAGTCAGATAAGTGCCGGCTCGATGGGCGGTCAAAGTTTGATGGGGAGGATGGGCTCAACCGCCATGCCCAACAAGCTCAAGCCAACATATATTTGCAAGGATATGGGTGTTTCCCAAACAGGAAATTCAGCCATGGCGGGTCTCACACAGCACTGGTGGATTTGGCGCAAATGGTGAATGCGTGGGGTAGGCGGTTCCCACACTTCCCAGTGACCGAGGCCGCTCACATCCTTGCTCATGAAGCTGACCTCGGCTCAGAAAGCTCACATCACAGTAGCAGGGGCCAGGGTCCTCTTCCGCTCTCTCTTCGGATCAAGCACAAACCCACAAACCAAACCTGCTCCGCATGAAACGGGTCGCCCTGCCGGAGATTGCTGCCAACTACCAACGACTCGTACCTTCAACAGCTGCCAGAATAGTATCTCAGCACAATTCAAGGAGCTTCCTGCTTCGCGGCAGGATGTTTTTCAGGCACTTGGAACAAATTGCCAATCTCTGTGGCTGAAGCGAGGCAAATAAACATCAATTTCTTTGAGACACCGGAAACAAACTGCTCCTAGGTGAAATCAACATGAAGCTCAGGGTTTGGCTTGAGCCTTGTCCAGGCTCGTGCCAAGCTTTTGTACTTAGAAAGCAACGAGTTGTAAGCGGCAATCGGCAATGAAGCTGCGCGTGCGTGCCAAACCAGGCATCAGCAATTTACGTGGACAAATAAAAGCTTAACCTGCATCTGGCCATCCGCGAGGCTCAGGCAAGCAACACGCATGCACAATATACATACGTATATCTCAAATGCGAGCTTGTGCGTGCGTGCGTGCGTGCGTGCGTGCGTGCGTGCGTGCGTGCGTGCGTGCGTGCGTGCGTGCGTGCGTGCGTGCGTGCGTGGGTGGGTGGGTGGGTGGGTGGGTGGGTGTGTGTGTGTGTGTGTGTGAGAGAGTGTGTGTGTGTGTGTGTCTGAGCGTCTGTCTGTCTGTGTGTCTGTGCGTCTGTGCGTCTGTGCTTCTGTGTGTCTGTGTGAGTGTGTGTGTGTGTGAGTCTGTGTGTCTGTGTGTCTTTGTGTCTGTGTCTGTGTGTCTGTGTGTGTGTGTCTGTGTGTCTGTGTGTCTGTGTGTCTGTGTGTCTGTGTGTCTGTGTGTCTGTCTGTCTGTGACTGTGTGTCTGTGTGTGTGTGTGTGTGTCTGTGTGTCTGTGTGTCTATGTGTCTGTGTCTCCGTGTGTCTCCGTGTGTCTGTGTCTCTGTGTGTCTGTGTCTCTGTGTGTCTGTGTGTCTGTGTTTGCGCTGCATGGGGTCGTCTGTAGGGGAGCCTCCAAACACAGCAAACAATCATTCCATCTTCAAGTGCCCTCAATCAGAATTATGTTTGTCGCAACAAAGTCTATCCCTCAAGAATGCCAGGCTATGCACGATTCGCTCAGCTTCTGTACCCAGGCAATGTGCCGCTGTCATTTCCTCAGCCCTCACTCCGACCAAACCAACAGTGCTCAGGAGGACTGTCCGAACGAGGTTATAAACTGGGGAACGGTCTTTTTTGCTTGGATTCCAAGAGCGAAAATGTGTGGATTCTTGGTTCTACCAACCTGGGCAAGGCTTATATAGGCTTTTACTATACCGTAAGTAGTAAACAAACACCTACGAAAATGGCCCTTTTGTGGGGCTTGGTCGGATTCCGGTCCCAGTAGCATGGAGCACCGGATTGGAAGCCGTGGCCACGTCTCGGCGAAGATCCTCGCCCTGCCAATCGCTTTGAGAAGCCACGAGTTGGGGAAAGCAAATCAGGTTGCCCAGGGAGAGTTTTTTGGGTTTCCTGCGGTTTTCTGTTGATGTCCTGTAAGTTTCCTTTGGTTCCCGTTTAGACCATAGGGTTTTCTTTTTGGTTTCCCGATTGAACCATAGGGTTTCCTTTTGGTTTCCCGATTGAACCATACGGTTTCGTTTGGTTTCCTGCGGTTGTCCTTTTTCCTATGGGTTTCCTTTGGTTTCCCGATTGAACCATAGGGTTTTGTTGGATTTTCTGCGATTCTCCTTTGATTTCCCTGTTAAGATTTTAAGCCACAGGGTTTCCTCGTGTGGTTCTCCTGGCTTCCCTTTTGAACCATAGGTTGTCCTTTGGTTTTGTGTGATTTTCCTTTGGTTTCCCTTTTGAACCCCTTTCAAACATTTTCAAACCAACCAACAGAGGGCTATCCTAACATTTTGATCACTGCTCTGCCACTTCGCTGGGCTGCTCTAAATCGAGTGTTGGCCAATCCAAATCAATATTCCAAGCCGAGACCACAGAAGACCCCCCCCCCTTCGTGATCAACGGTAAAAATGAAGGGTTGTCCTTGAAGTGCGCAGACTTATACCCTTGTCAACATGGAAGCGGAAGTTGCCAATATCATTTCTATCTGAAGGGATCGGCCGGTCATTTAAAACTATAGCTCTTCATCATTCTCAAAATCACTCCCGAGCAGTAGGTTTGAGGGAATGACCCCTGTTTCTGACATTGACAACCCCAGTCAAAACTGGGGGGCCAGGTTAAAGCCCCCCCCCCTGCGAACACTAAGGAAGGGGAAGGGTGATCCTTTCAGCGGATTCCCTTTAGCGATCTTTGCCCTCCAATGTGAAAATAAACCATCTGCCTAAAACACGACACACACACACACACACACTCACACACACACACTTCAATAATTTAAGGGGTGGTTTCGTACATTCGTGTACGTCATGCAAGAGAGGAGAGCAGAGACAGGTTCGACTGCTTCGTTTCGAATCACCAATCGAGCCATTGGTCCTTGCAAAGCAACACCGAAACACACCAGACAATGAGGCTCCTTTGCAGCTACAAGATGCTGCGTCCAGCGTCTCATCCACCCGATTTCCGTAGCTTCGATGGCACGGCTTGGCAATCAGGCGCCGCGCCCCCTGCGTGAACTGAAAAATGGCCCCAGCATAATTAAAATCTGGGACTCAGCACACACACGCCCCCCGCAGGGGCGAGAGCCCAACAGACGAGAAACAGAGCAAAAACAAACCAAAACGAAGCGAAAAAGGGAACCCCGAATTGGGTCTCCGCGGGCGAAACCCCAACCAAGAAACAAGAAAAACGGGGACACCAGTTTGAGGCTCTCCGAGGGCAAGAACCCGAAACAGCGCAAGACCGACCTAAACCTGGAAGAAGAAGACCACCGCGAAGTTGAAGAGCCGGAAAAGGAGGAGGCCATCATTAAGCGGCCGAAGGGCAAGTACAGGGACAGGCAAAAGAAGGGACCCAGGAGGCCGTGGAGAGAAAGAAGAAGACCAGCAAGAAGAAGAAGAAGCCATCCCGCAAAGGGGCCAAGAGCACGTGCACCGCGAGTCAACGGAAGAGGCAGAAGACGTCGAGCCAAACTGCAGGAAGAAAAAGGAGAGCGCCGGCGTGATTACAAACAGGACGATCAAGTCAAGGACGAAGGCGAAGAACTCGAAGACAAAGAGGCCATCCCTAAACGGGCGAACAGGAGGAGGACCAGCACGCGGCTGCCAACAAGGACGAAGAAGGAACGGGGAAAGAGAGGCGATGAACCACAAGTCAGTCAACAGGAGGACATAGAGGATGCACGAAGAGGGGGGGGAGGGGGGAGGAAAACACGTGTGGATGCAGGAGGTAACCCGGCCTTGTTGTTCTTGAGTGTGAAAAATTCACCAAAAGCACCTTTGTATCCCACTGAGGTCACGAGGCCACACCAGGGGCGCACTCGAGGATCTCCCTTTTAGGATAACACACTTCGATACCCCAAGGGTACATTCGTGTCGTCATGCAAGACAGGAGAGGCGAGACAGGTTCGACTGCTTCATTTCGAGCTGGCTTCAGACTGTAAAGTCAACAATCAACAGCACGCGGCTGCCAACAAGGACGAAGAAGGAACGGGGAAAGAGAGGCGATGAGCCAGAAGTCGACATAGACGATGCACAAAGACAGGGGGGAGGGGGGGAGGAAAACACGGGTGGATGCAGGAGGTAACCCGGCCTTGTTGTTCTTGAGTGAGAAAGATTCACCAAAAGCACCTTTGTATCTCACTGAGGTCACGAGGCCACACCAGGGGCGCACTCGAGGATCTCCCTTTCGGGATAACACACTTTGATACTTCAAGGAGTGGTTCGGTACATTCGTGTACGTCGTGCAAGAGAGGAGAGGCGAGACAGGTTCGACTGCTTCGTTTCGAATCACCAATCGAGCCATTGGTCCTTGCAAAGCAACAGCGAAACACACCAAACAATGAGGCTCTTTTGCAGGTACAAGATGCTGCGTCCAGCTGCATGAACTGAAAGGTTCCCAGGGAAAATCTGGGACTCAGCACGCACACACACACACACTCACTAACTCACTCACTCACTCACTCACTCACTCACTCACTCACTCACTCACTCACTCACTCACTCACTCACTCACTCACTCACTCACTCACTCACTCACTCACTCACTCACTCACTCACTCACTCACTCACTCACTCACTCACTCACTCACTCACTCACTCACTCACTCACTCACTCACTCACTCACACACTCACACACTCACACACACACAAACACAAACATAAACACAGACACAAACATAAACACAGACACAAACACACACACAAACACAAACACACACGCAGAAACACACACGCACACACGCACACACGCACACACGCACACAGGCACACACGCACGCACGCACACACGCACACACGCACACACGCAAACACGCACACACGCACGCACGCACACAGACACACACAGACACACACAGACACACACACAGACACACACACAGACACACACAGACACACACAGACACACACAGACACACACAGACACAGACACACACACACACAGACACACACACACAGACACACGCACACAGACACACTCACACAGACACACAGACACACACACAGACACAGAGACACAGAGACACAGAGACACAGAGACACAGAGACACAGAGACACAGAGACACAGAGACACAGAGACACAGAGACACAGAGACACAGAGACACAGACACACA